CCAGATATTCCTAGAAAATTTAGATCTATGGAAAAGAATCAAGAACGAGCCAAAGAACTACTCACTTGGATTCAGAGCACTATATCATCTGGACGAATGGGTGATCCAGGTAAGCCAGGAGTTAAATGGTTCAATAGATTCTTAAAAGATTATAATTTAGTTCCCAAATACTTACGAAAAATAGGTGCTGTTTATGGTGTCGTAGTACATGAGGCCGAGAATATAGCTCATGCTTATACCATTGCTGGAGAATGTCTACGCCATAACCCCGACAACCATACTTCACCTGTGCAAAATTATGTTGTAGTAAATTATCGGAAAAAAGGGCAGACTCCGGAGCAGGCAAGACCATTCCACCTTTATGATGATGATAACTAATTACGCTTCTTTACTTTTGCCACAATCACAGTAAAATCTTTATCACCATTAGACGGATTCAGAGTCGGACCCAGATGAAGATCAGGATGAGGACTCAGATGCGGTATCATTTAAAATTAACTTTTTTCTTTTAGCCTTACATGGTGTACGGTTTCTTTGAGAAATATCCGGGTTTGCTATCGAGTTTATAATTTCTTCAGTTATAGTTGACCAGTTAGTGTCTGAATCAATAGTAGCTTTAGTCGTTGTTGATGCCATAATATTATTTATTAATACATGATAAAATTCAGAATAAATAATAATTATTTTTTGGTTATAATATACATCATTAAATAATATTTTACCAATGTTTGTGAATTGTCTTGTAGAAGGGAAAATTCCAGTTAAAGCATTAATTAATACATCCTCAAAGTTTAATACTATTAGCAAGAAGTTATTCGACAGCCTTGGTGAAGAATATGGTATAGGGTTTGTATCTGTTGGTGCTGAAAAAATCTATAAAGATGCAATAGGTGAAATAAAATGCTTAGATTTGCAATTTCAGTATAACGGAAAGTGGCAAAGCTTAGATGGTACTGAAGTAATAGACTTTCAAATTCGCAAAAATCCATCATTCGATCTAGTGTTAGGACAAGATTGGTTATGGGTGCGTGAAGCAAAAATAAGCTTCGAATTTTCTTCTAAAACCTGTGAACACCGTGCTAAAATTGTAATAGATGGTATGAGTATCCCATTAACCGATGAAGATTTTAACAAAGCCAACTCCACTAAAAATAACTCACCTGAGTCCGATATAACTCTGGATGAACTTGTGGATATGTTCAAGAAATTATCTCTCAGAAGCAAGGATAATAAGCAACGGAAGAGGTATCACAGCAACATATCTCCTGTATCTCCAACACCCGGAAGATTAAATGATGATGTTTCCAAAAATAGCGGAGCTAGCAAGATTAAGAAATATCCTAAAGTAGATTTAGGTGATGGGTGTGGAAACCTTTCAATTAAAACGCACCTCAATAATATTTGGAAGTCGATTCATTCTATAGAAGATGATATATATTATGGGATTTTTAAAAGACTTTCCAATATTGAGAATGAACTGAGGTGTGTAAAGATATAAGAGTTGGTACGGCTAAAGGATAATGAGTCATATCCTTCTAATTCTCGCTTACATCAAAATAAGAGCAAGAAAAATAAGGTCAACTGTTGCATCATAGAATTGGAATCGGATACTAACTCTGATACTTCGTCTAGTCCTGTCATCAGATAATCTGGTAGAAAAGCTGAATGAGTTTGAGAATATCCGGAAAATGCATAGTATATCAGCCTAAAATTAATTATCCGAACATTAGTTGTTTTCTGATTAAAGATATATATATTACTTGAGTATGACACGACTAAATATTTTTGATTTACCAGAATTACTAGAACAGATCTTATATTTTTTAGAAATCAATCAATCCCTCTATCCCGCTTTATTCGTCAACCACTTTTGGTATCACTGCGGTGCTCCTATTCTATGGCGTCGCATTGAGTTTTTTACAGAAAAAGATTATCAGAGAGGTCAGCATGGTCGTAAGATGCCTCGAGTTCTTACTCGGCGATTGATAAACTTTAAAAGAGTTATGTGTAAAAAATAAAGCCACTCTATTGTTCAAAGATGGTATATCTCAGATTGGAAGGTTTAAAAATCAAAGATGTGTTGATTAGTGCGATTCTACGCTCATGTCCAGATATACGTATTCTCATTCTTGATCGAAGTGATGGTTTCTCTAACATACCAATTATAGAAATTGCAAGATATTGCCCAAAGCTATTACATCTGAGTCTTAATTCATGTATATGTCTCACTAATCGATGTATCACTGAAATTGCTCGCTCATGCCCAAAACTTAGACATCTTGAGCTTGGTAATTGTTTGATTGGTAATGAAACTATCGAGGAAATAGCCCGCAACTGTACTAATTTGAAATATCTTAGTTTGAAGGGGTGTAGAAGGATTAGTAATGAAGTGGTAAAAAAACTTAATTCAAAAATTAAAATCGAACATCCAGATTATTCAGATGATGAATTCTCCGATTCTGATCTACCTCCACTTGTTCCAGATCCATTAAGGGTATCTCGAAGCGTTATCTTTACCGGTGGACCTAATAGAATGGTTTTAACTAATACAATAATTGTAACAGATCTTATTTCTGAAATTAGAGTATCATCAGCATTGACTGATTCAGATCCGGATTTTGATGGACCTATCATTTACATTCTAAAATAATAGTATACAACTATTTAGTCGCATATAAAAATAATTTTCAATGTTATCATAATAAGTATTTCTTATCTGAAAATGCGTATTAATCTCTCTGTTTTACAAATAAATAAGAGACATCTATTGTTGTTGTATAAAAACGATTAAGCTTATTTTTTGACATCGAATGAGGGCCTGTGCGTCGTATGAGATGTGCCAAAGTTTTCGATTCTACCTATCAGATAAAATTCACAAATAATTATGATCGGCAAAGATAACAGATCGTTCATAGTAGATAAATTTATGTTATCAAAGATAGACACAGAGTGTCCTGCTCCGCTAATGAAAATACCCGTAATAAATTTGCACTTACTAGAAATAGTTTTCGTCCTCAATCGCCCATAGAAACGTTTAATTAATGTATGATGTTGTATGAAATCATCCTCGATCACCCATGGAGAATAAATTAATCCCATTCATGACAAATGCCTGCTCCGAAATTACTGATTTATTGACACACGGAACTACTAATGTTATAAAAACAAAACATATTTCCCATTAATCGTAAAATCACAAATATGGATATTAAATACCTTAAAACCCTTGCGTTAAATATTCTTAAAAATACCTCTCCAGGAGATATTGCAAATGGAATTGATGTTCCGGAACTGGATTCATGTTCACTATGTAACGATGAATTATTTTTAAGACTAATAAAAAAGCCATTCACAGCTCTACCATGTGGCCATATATTTCATCGTACTTGTCTTGAAAACAGTATCATAAATGGTGTAGAAATTTGTCCTGCCCACGGTTGTTCTAAATTTTTTGAATTGGAGTTGCAGGACGTTGAAATACCAGAAGAACGATCTTCTTCATCCCAAGATAAAATGAGTATTGATGGATCATTAGAAAATTATTCTCGACAAAAAACCAACACATTGGAAAATGACCCATCGCATCTAGATACGATCACAGAAGACCCATCTGATGATAATCGTTCACAAAACAAAGAATCCGACGTACCTGAAACATCAACTACAAGTGCTTTGCCATCCAAACGCGCTAATAAAACTACCACTATGGATAAACCACCCAGTAAAAAAAAGAAATCCTCGAGTAGAGAAGATTCCCCTGTATTGAAAAAACTTATCGATGAGTTGTCTACTGATGTTTCTGGAACTTCCGAAGTCATAAATAATGCAAGGGAAGATACCAGTAATACCAGTAATTTTTTATATCTCTATAGCAGGATTGATCAAGCCGAATCTAAGAATGAGACAACTAACCAAGATGTCATTAGGTGTTATTACTGTTTTGGAAAGGCTCTTGAGGATCGATTCGAACATTACAAGAAAACTAATCCCAAACGTACAGCTCAAGCGCTAGTTAATGAAGAAGTTAGGAAACAACTCCCCCACACACTTAGTGATGCCCTACTTCGGAAGAAAAAAGAAAGAGCTCAGAAGATTTATGATCTTTTTAACGGAATTGGTGAAGATATGATTCGACGGATTAAATCTTTTACAGCTTTAACTATATCAAAGTTAAGTCAAGACGATATCGATTATATACTAGTCAAATTTGCAAAAAAATAGCAAATAGATGATTATAATCGTTACTGCGCCATCCACGTGATGTTGTGACCTCGAGGTCACATTCTTATTTTTTGTTTTCAAGATATAATAAAGAGATCATTTACTATGATTTTTGATTCCCGCTTGATTAAACATAATTATCCAGATTCATACCATAATCGCATTACCATAAGACCTTTGCAAAATTTTTAGATGCGTGAGTTAGAAGCTTCAATCAATCTTTAACCCTGATTCTTCACAACTCTTTTTAAATATACGGGACATACTTCCCTCAATTCCCTGACCGTAACTTCTTCGTGAAAATTAGAAGGAAGTTCATACATATATTTTACAGGATCTTTCTATGCCTATTCTGAAAGAATGAACTTCGTTCTGGCATGAGCTCCGCTCTTAGATGCGGGTAGGTAATAGTTGAGTGTCTTTTCTAATCGTTTACCAAAGAAATTCAAATTTGATAATCTATCCGCATAATCAATCAGATAATCATTTATTATCGTACGACATTTTAATGGGGCTGAGTAAAGATAAAATTTCGATGTGTGTAACACCTGACGCATGCATGCTTATTTGTGCGATTAACCAAATTCGATTAATTGGCATTCATGTACATCCATTTTCTTTGTAAGGAATTCTTGGCGTAAATATAGAGGAAGAGATGGAAGGAAAACATTTATAAGGGCAGTATAAAAATATATACGTTAATTTGCGATTTCTGATTCTAGCTCTTTTGTAATTTTTCAAACTAACAAAAACATTCCATTTAACTTGCATAACTTTATTCTAACAATGTCAAGTATTTTCGAGAGAGTTTGTAATTTCCTTACCCATTCACCGTTGGACCATATTTCTGTCATGTCTGTCATATATCAAGTGATAGAAGAACAACCAGGATATCCAGAGGATGAACTACGTGATTTGGTTTCTCTAGCCATCGACGAGACAATAAAGAATTGCAAAAAAGATAATCTAAGACGTAAGAAGCTTATTAAAATCCCATTGCAGGTTAGTTTTAATCTCGAGGTTGTGATTAATTATACCATATGATGATTGGCGCTGGTCCGTGTTAGCTTTGGTTAAGTAAAAGCCTATAGCCTGCGGTTACTGGATATTATCCACAAACGTATGGAGGTGATTACTTGATCAAGCACATGTGGATAATTAAAGTCAAATGAAGGCGATAGACGTGTGATGGCCAGACACGAATTGAACCTTTTCATGCGACTTTCTGATGGGTGCATGCATAAATATCGGATTTAACGGTTAATCGTTTGAGTAATTACTAACATGAAATTTTCTGATGCGCCAGTTCGAGGTTGGTTATGAAGGCGTCTGTACACTTCGCAATATAGAGGAGGCGAAAAAGGTGCGTTATATTCTTGTGGTATTAGCGACTAGGATATTATATATGTGCTGACTTTTCTATAACAGAAAGAAAGTATTACTGAAGACGAAATAAAAGAGAACATGCGAACTTTGAAGACGAAGCTCATCGTAAGTTTAGAAATAACACATCAACTCTTTGGGAGCAAAAACCGATCTGAAGTTTATTATTATCTTTTTTTTTTCAGAGTAGTAAGTCTTCTTATGCACCCGATTTACGAAGAAAAATAGATGGTATTGAGGCTTCTAACCTTTTGTGGTGGGATCCACTTGGGAGCCGTGTACTCAGTAACGAATCGGATTTGGTGAGGTCTTTGTCGGATGAAGAATACAAATCTTTCATGGTAAGATGGAACTTTGGCGTTAGTCACCACATTCACGCTGAAGTATATTAACCAAGTTGAAATGTATTATTAGGAGCCTGTAAGGCGTATGGGGGTGGCCATCCCTTCTATCATAAAAGAGATGTGTGTTAATTTCGTGGAAAACTTCAGCTATGATAGTGCCGAGGTTTCGCTTTTCAAACTTGCACACGATATGAATTGGAAGGAAAATGTTGATACACTCCAGGGAGTTACTAAGAGAATTTTTAACACATTGTAAATGTTTGCTAAGCTCATATTGGGGCTGTTCTAGGAAAAAGTGGGTTTCGACCCTCAGATTCAAAAATGAGATATTTATACCAAATTAATCTATACCA